CTCTCTCTCTCTCTCTCTCTCTCTCTCTCTCTCTCTCTCTCTCTCTCTCTCTCTCTCTCTCTCTCTCTGTGCATGTGTTGTCATGTTCACTATACAGTGCATACACAGCTCCGCAGAAAAAGCATGAGATGTCATATTTGTGCTGTCTCAGGGTGGACACTTTGCAATCTTTCTATGCCAAACCTCACAGAAAAACTGAACATACCGAAAAAGAAACGAAGTAGTGGGACACACGAAGATGGTGTAGCTATTGTTCGCAAAAGGGCATAAATATGGAAGCAAAGTGTGGGAAGAACTTACTCAGCTCCGCYTCAAGCTCTGGAAGCTCGTAGGTTGCCTCCCAGGTGTTGACGCTGTTGGGTATGCAATATCCAAACGAGAAGTCGTAACCACGAAGAAGCCTGTCACGCAGGTAGTGCCGCTCGATCATGCGGAGATTCGGTGCACCCTTTGATCCTACAGTAAACGACAAACTGAAGAAATGCAATCAACATCAATTGCATTGAATTTCACAAGAAGCCGTACTCGTCCTCCTTTTTTTTCTTTTTCCTTWTTTTTCTTTTTTCTTTCTCTGATGTTCCTCATTTGGTTGCCATCATTGTTACGATACAGTCGAAATCCAAACATTGAAAAAAAAAAAAAAAAAAAAAAAAAAACGTTTTGCAATGAACCAGACGGTTTGCAATCCCCAATAGCACCATGTATCACACAGAGTCGCACCAGCGAGTCGCACCAAGAGTACCCAGATGACAATTAGACCAGACCGAGGTGATTATAGCACAAAGCAATTGAGATTATACAAGTTTCGAAGTCCAAGCGGCTATGGCCGCAAACCCATCCATGACACACAGGTAATCTCTCTCTCTCTCTCTCTCTCTCTCTCTCTCTCTCTCTCTCTCTCTCTCTTGTTACTTTTATCGCTCACTCTCATCCCTTGGACCCCTCACAGTCGCTCTCTGAATACACTCACCAACCCTCGTAGCCATGGCCGTTGTCTTCTTCCTCTACAACCCTAGCTATGGCGCTCAGGTGCCCCCCTACTTCCTCAACCTCTCCGACAATGGACCCAACCCGTCGCCCAAGCATCCAGCACAGCTCCCAGCTCCCTCAACAGACAAAGTGACAAGCAAAGTCCCCGAAGCACTGTACCTCTATAAATAGAGGCTGAATTGAGATTTCTTTCGACCTCAGACCGGCACCTGTCGCGGCGGCCTGTCGCCTGCACTTTGCCCGTTCCAAAACTTACTGAACTTTCCCAGGATGCTGCTACAAATTCGTGTCTTCGAACCTTTGGGACTTTTCTAGTCGGGTACCGGGACTTGACTTCTGACGGCCGGTCAACGATTCCAATTACTGGGACGTACGAACCTACGGTCCTATAAATGGGCACTCCGATCGCTGCACCTGCCAGGACAGATACTTCCAAGGAACTGGGACCACTGGGACTCTGGGACCACTGGGACTCTGGGACCACTGGGAGTCTGGGACCGGGACTCGGAACACAGACTGCACCGTGGAATCTGTTTGGTATGTAGTTCAGGGCATCCACTAAAATTGGCCCCATACAGAGAAGAATAGCATGCCCCCCGTGCAAGGATCACACGCATTAATCGA